GGCAGATGGGGACGTGGCCCGGGGACGGAGCTGCTCTGGGACGTGCCCTCTCCGCGTGCTCCGGCTGCCGGGGTTTTCTATCAGCAAAGGCCGGACCTTGCTCGGCGGTGGCGTCCTGCTCTGTGCAGCCTGCCCACGCCGCCGTCCCATATCAGAGTGCCCCTAGACGCCACGGCTGCCCAGGGGCTGGGCGCACCCCCAGGGTCTCGGCAGCACCCCACCAGCCGCCCGAGTCCCCCCTCTGCTGACGACCGGCACCCCCAGCTCTCTCACTTTGCCAGTGGTGGGCGGAAGCCGCACGGTGTCGGTGGGTGACCCCACCTGGCCCGTCCCCTCTTCTGTGAGTTTGAGCTTTCGCCTGCGTTTCCATCAGGAGGTGCCCCGTTCTGGCTGATTCGTGGGCCCCTTGTGTGCGAGACTCGGGCTCCCCAGGCGCCTTCCACACGCCGCCAAAGCACATTTAAAGTGCGGCACGCGGTGGCGGAGCAGAGGGCGCCAGCCCGCACTCCCCCCGCCCCCGGACGGGGTGCTGACCCCTCCCGCCCGTGGGAGGCCAGTTAGACGCCTGGCAGAGGCCTCCAAGGTGGCTACACCTGCCTGGTGCCCGGACCGAGAAGCTCTGGTCGAGGCGCGGACATCGGAGGGCCAGAGGGGCCCCCAGCGGTGGCGGCGGCCGCCCATGTCTGGATCCAGCTGCCTTTAGCGACTGAGCTGCGAGAGCTCCTTGCTCCACAGACGGCTCCCTATCAGAGCCAGGTTCGCCAGGACTCCCCCGTCGGGGCGTCTCCCTTTCCTGGGGGCATATTCGAGGCACAGAAGTTTACAGTGTTGGTGACACCCCGTTTTTTCTTTCCCTTTGGTTGCTTGTGCTTCGGGGTCACAGCTGAGCATCCCATCACAAGCCCAAGACACCTAGAAGACGACGCCTGTGTCACTCCCAGGTCACCTACACTTGGCCTCTCCCCCGGCCGCCTTCCCCTCGAGCGAGTACTGGGGTGGGCGGTGGCCAGCACGACCCTCTGTGTGTGGCCTCTGTCCCTGCGTCCCAAGCAGCCTCTCCGGATCCATGCTCGCCCTGTTGAGGTGAAGCCCCTTGACGGGCTGTCTCTAGAACCTTCCTTGCCCACGCCTTCAAGTCTCCGTGGAGCCTGTGAGCCCACAGGGAGACGGACTAGTAGGCCTCAGCGCTTCGGGCCGGTCCGGGAGAGCAGCGACGGCAGTCCTCCGTCCGTCGTTCAGCCCCAGAGCCGACGCCCTTGCGCAAGGGGCCCTCTGGGGGAGCAGGCAGGTGCCAGGGCAGCCAGGCGCTTCACGCTCCCTTCGTCCAGCTGCCCGCAGGTGGTGCGCAGGGAGCCGCAGGGAGACAAAGCCAGAAATACAGTCACGTCAGTGGAAGGGAAAGCTGCGGGCAGAAGCTGGTGCTTCTGAGCCGGTCAGGAGCCCCGACGCCGCCCGCGCAGCCGAGCTCCCCCACCCCGTGGGGTGCTGCCCCCTCCCTGCCCCCGGCAGCGCTCGCACGGCCCTCCCTGAACCTGGGACAGCTACTAAGCCTTCTGGAGCCCCCCGGGCCCCCTGAACTCTGCCTCAAGTTCCCTTCCCTGCGTCCGGGTCGAGTTCTTTGCTCTCGGCGCCCGCCCTGCAGCCCGCCGGGACCGCAGCTGTCCGGTGAGCCCCGACTCGTCAGTCTCCCTCGGCTCCTCTGCCGCCGGAGGGCAGGGCCGCGCAGGGCCGCTGCCCGGCCGGGACGTGGGGTGGCACGGAAGGGCGGGTGGGGGCGGCTGGGTCCTGCCGGACTGGCCAGGGCTCAGGCGCGGCCGCCAGTCCCCCGCACTGGCTACAGCCGCTGCCCGGCAGAGCGGCGCTGAGCCCAGGTCCCCACCTTCGTCAGCCTCGCCCTGGCCCTCCCTCGGGGCGGGGTCTGGCACCATAAAGCTGAAGGGGTGAAAGACAAGGCTGACAGCGGAGGCACCCACAGAGCAGAGCACAGGTAGGTCCCCAGGGCGCTCCAGGCAGAGGGCGACGCGGGCGGGAAGCGGCAGCAGGGGACCAGGGCGAGGCCCGGGCAGCTTCAGAAGCTTCCAGGCAGCAGTGCGGGGCGGGCGAGAAAGGGCAGGTCAGACCCACAGGAGGTCCGGCACCAGCATGAACCCCAACGTAAACTCTGGACTTTGGGTGACTGTGCCCTGTCACCGTGGGTTCAGAGTGTCGAGCACCCAGCTCCGGGGGACGTGGGTGGGGGAGGGGCCGCCGGGGGACGAGGACGTGGGGAGGCAGCAGCTACATTCACCTTTGCTGTGAATCTAAAACTGGTCTGAAAAGTTTTTGTTTGCTTGTTTGTTTAAAAAAAGAGGTCTGGCCAGTAGGCGTTAGCAGAATAAGCACCCACCCAGACAGCTGCCTCTGGCTCTGTCCCCCAACTCCTGCTCCCCACCAGCCCATCAGATGGAGAGTGTCGGGGGTGCCTGGGCCTCCTGCCAGGGCCAGGGAGACAGGCGAGGCAGAGGGAGGAGGCCACGGCCGTCTGTCCAGGGAGCAGGCCACGGCCGTCTGTCCAGCAGGCCACGGCCATCTGTCCAGGGAGCAGGCCACGGCC